AATTAGACAATGGGTGGATGATATTGCTTTTCACCATGTGTCTAATGAAACCAATGCCTGCGAGTTTTGGACGAAGCTTGAGTCCTTATTCGAGAAGAAGACCTCAGCCAAGAAAGCCTTCTTGATCAAAAAGCTCATCAATGTGAAGTACAAGGATGGTTTAAGTGTAGCAGAACACTTGAACAATTTCCAAAATATCATCAACCAGTTGACTACTATGAAAATGACGATTGAGGACGAGCTACAAGCGCTCTTGTTACTTGGATCATTTCCAGACAATTGGGAGACCTTTGTGGTGAGTATAAGTAACTCTGCTTCTAATGGTGTTCTTACTCTTGATAATGTTAAAAATAGCTTGCTCAATGAAGAAACAAGGAGAAAGACTTCAGGCACAGATAACAGCCAAGTATTTGTCACAGAGAACCGCAGAAGAAGCAAGAGTAGAGGGCCTAGAGGTCATGGCAGGAATACTAGCCGATCCAAGTCAAGGTTCAAGGGTGCATGCCACCATTGTGGCAAAGAAGGCCATATGAAGAAAAATTGTCGAGTTTGGAAGAGAGAGCAAAGGGAAGGAAACAATCAGAAAAAAGATGATACTGGTAATACCACCGCTGTCATAAGTGGTGATGTACCAGAAATATTGTCCGTTGGTGAATGTCTGCATATGGGCAACTCTGACAGAGGCACTGAATGGATTTTTGACAATGGAGCTTCCTTCCATGCTACGTCCAAATGGGAGTTCTTTAGTACATACAAAGAAGGTGACTTTGGCATAGTGAAGATGGGGAATGAAAGCTATTCCAAAATTCTTGGAATTGGTGATATTTGCCTAAGAACTAATCTCGGCTGCCAGTTGATGTTAAAAGATGTGAGACATATTCCTGATATACGTCTCAATCTGATATCCATCGATACCCTTGATCGACAAGGTTATTATCATCATATTGGCGAAGGAATATTGAAGCTTACTAAAGGCTTAATGGTGGTAGCAAGAGCACGACTTTGTTGTACATTGTACCGGTCAAATGCCAAAGTTTTGAAAGGTGAGTTGAATGTTGTGGAGGATTCATCTCTAGACTTGTGGCATAAGAGGCTAGGCCACATGAGCGAGAAAGGCCTACAAGTTTTAGCAAAGAAGTCTCACATTCCCTTTGCCAAAGGTACGTCGTTAAACTCTTGTGAGCATTGTTTATTCGGAAAACAAAGAAAAGTTAGTTTTCTGTTCCATCTACAAAGAAAGAAAATTTGTTAGATCTTGTTTATTCAGATGTGTGTGGTCCCATGGAAGTCGAGTCACTTGGAAGAAATAAATATTTTGTTACTTATATTGATGATGCTTCACAAAAGGTTTGGGTGTATTTGTTGAAATCCAAAGACCAGGTGTTTCAGACATTCCAGGAGTTCCATGCCATGGTGAAGAGGGAAATTGGGAAACCTCTCAAGTGCCTTCGTAGCGACAACGGCGGTGAGTACACATCTCACCAGTTTAGAGAGTATTGTGTGAAACATGGCATACGTCATGAGAAGACAGTTCCTGGAACTCCACAACATAATGGTGTTGCTGAAAGAATGAACCGAACCATCATGGAGAAAGTCAGGTGTATGCTGAGGACTGCAAAGTTATCTAAGCAGTTCTGGGGTGAAGCTGTAAGGACAGCCTGCTATTTGATCAACCGATTTCCATCAGTACCATTAGGTCTTGATGTTCCGGAGAGAGTATGGACTGGTAATGATGTGTCTTACTCTCATCTGAAGGTGTTTGGCTGCAAAGCTTTTGTGCATGTGCCCAAAGAGCAAAGATCGAAGTTAGACTACAAAGCTACACCGTGCATCTTTCTTGGTTATGGCGGTGAAGATTTTGGTTACAGATTATGGGACCCATACCAGAAGAAGTTTATTCGAAGTAGAGACGTGGTCTTTTATGAAGATTAAACAATTGGGGATTCGGATAAAGAGGCACAACCAGATGGCGCGGTCAAAGGAGTTGATCCATTAGCTTCAGATGAAGAAAGTCACGATGACATCCCTGAAGCAGCTACCAATGAAGTGCCTGCAGAACCAGATAATGCTGATCAGAAGAAGCCTGATCAAGATGTGCCAGACCATGAGATTGCTGATCAGGGGGAGCCTAATCAAGAAGAGCAGATTCAAGAAGAACCCAATCAGGGGGAGCATCCAGCCCCGCAAGAGAATGAAGATCAGGTCAGAAGATCCAGCAGAAGTCGAAGACCATCTACCAAGTATTCTTCATCAGAGTATATCATGTTGACTAATTATGGAAAGCTCGAAACTTATGAGGATGCCAGAGCTCATAACGACAGTTATAAATGGATGAAGGCAATAGAGTCAGAGATGGATTCCTTATTAAAGAATGATACCTATGAGCTGGTGGAGCTTCCAAAGGGCATAAAAACATTGAAAAACAAATGGGTGTTCAAATTGAAAAGGGATGACAACATGACAAGGTACAAGGCTCGTTTGGTTGTCAAAGGTTTTGGTCAAAAGAAAGGAGTTGACTTTGATGAGATTTCCTCACCGGTGGTGAAGATGACTTCCATTCGAGTTATACTTGGTATGGCAGCAAGCATGGATCTTGAGCTCGAGCAGTTAGACGTTAAAACTGCATTTCTCCACGGCAATTTAGAAGATGAGATATACATGAAACAACCCAAAGGCTTTGAAGTCAAAGGTAAAGAAAATTTGGTGTGCAAGCTCAAGAAAAGCTTATATGGTCTTAAGCAGGCTCCGAGACAGTGGAATAAGAAGTTCAACTCATTCATGGTGAGTAATGGGTACAAGAGAACTCATGCTGACTCTTGTGTCTATATCAAACAATTTTCTGGAGGTAAATTCATCATTTTATTGCTTTATGTTGATGACATGTTGATTGTCGGTCAAGATGCTTCTATAATTAAAAAGCTCAAAGAAGAGTTATCTAAGTCCTTTGACATGAAGGACTTAGGGCCAGCCAAGCAGATTTTGGGCATGGAGATAATTCGTGACAGAAAATCCAAGAAGTTGTGGCTGTCACAAGAAAAGTATGTTGAACGGGTGCTTGAAAGGTTCAACATGAAAGCAGCCAAATCGGTAAGCTCACCTTTAGCCTATCATATCAAGTTGAGCAAAGAGTCATGTCCAAAAAAATATGAAGAAAAGGAGAAAATGGCAGTTGTTCCCTACTCTTCAGCAGTAGGAAGTATCATGTATGCAATGGTGTGCACACGGCTAGATATTGCTCATGCAGTAGGTGTGGTGAGCAGGTTTCTCTCTAATCCAAGGAAAGACCATTGGGAAGCTGTTAAGTGGATTCTCAGATATTTGAAGGGGACTTCTAAGATGTGCTTGTGCTTTGGTGGTTCCAAACCAATCTTGGAAGGATTTACTGATGCTGACATGGGAGGTGACCTGGATGGTAAAATCTACATCTGGGTACTTGTTTACTTTTGCAGGGGGAGCCGTGTCTTGGCAATCCAAGTTGCAAAAGTGTGTTGCTTTGTCCACAACCGAGGCTGAATACATAACCGCTATAGAAGCATGCAAGGAGTTGTTGTGGCTAAAGCGGTTTCTCCAAGAGTTGGGTTTGAAGCAAAGTGATTATGGCGTTTATTGTGATAGTCAGAGTGCTTTGGATTTGAGCAAGAACACTACATATCATTCACACACTAAGCACATTGATATTCGTTATCACTGGATTAGAGATGCTATCGAGAACAAGTTGCTACAGCTGAAGAAGATTCATACCGATAATAATTCTTCAGACGTGTTGACAAAGGTAGTCACAAAATCAAAGTTGGAATTTTGCATTAAGGCTGCTGGGATGGACTCCAGGTAACTTGGAGTCATGATCGGAATTCCTCATGGACTGGAGGGGGAGATTGTTGGTATATGGTCCAGCCCATGATGAATGTTCTAGATTATTCTAGTAAGCAAGTGAGGTGGCTGGAGCATGCTAGACAATTCTAGCATGTTATTAAGTTGATGGAAGAAGCTAGAGAGTACTAGTTTCCTTGGTTGCAAATGGAAAGATCTAGAAGCTACAATTTTGTGGCTAGTCTAGATCTTTCTATACTAGAGGTTTGAAGAATACACTATAAACTAGTAGAATGCCAAACTCTCATCTATAAATATGGGTGTGATGTTGTAGTAAAGTAACCAATTAAGAACCAAGTGTGAGTAGCAAAGGATCAAGTCCAAAGCTAGAGTTCCACTCCAAGAGTGAGAGTGAGAGTGTTCCACTACACATTGTGAGTGAAGTTTAGAGTGATAGAGAGTGTATGTCATACTTTTTTGTATCCATCAAGCCTTGTCTTTGGCTTGGTAAGACTACTCTTGTTGTACTCATCTTTTTCATATAGTGAAGATTGATCCTTGTTTTGTGGACGTAGGCAAAATTGCCGAACCACATAAATTCTTAGTGTCCATTTTCTACTTTACTTTGTGGATTCTCTATCTTGTAGTACCGACATTCCTAACAAATAAATCTTATACAAGGCTCGTTCATCTTCTAAACTACAAATTTGGTTCTATCTGCCCATCAATTTGAGTCGTTGAAAGTTTTTGCTTTAATAGAGTTCATTTTTTTTTGTATAATATTGGTTTAATTCTTGTTAATCATATAGTATTAGTTCGTGGTCGAAAGAAATTAAAATTGAACAATAATTTGCGAACACCAAACTGTGGACAGTACTATTTTTACTATCCTGCTTCTTAGTCTGACACTGCACCAAACGCTTTACTAAATTAGTCAGCTTAGTCTAGTCTAAGCCAGTCCAGGTTAGTTCTTGAAGCTAGTCTAGTCTGAAATAGTCTGGTGCAACAAACGCACCGTTATATTACAAACAAGTTGGATAAATTGGGAAAGCAAACTGTATAATCTTTGCCATTATAATTTAATGATGTAAAAAAAAAAAAAATCCCACACTAAATTCCAATATTACAAATCATACAAGTCTATATATATATATATATATATATTTTACTCTTTTCTTACCCTATTTACCTCTACTTGATGGCATGTAAATCTCTATGATCTTCCATTGGTTGCCAAAGGTTTGACACCATTTTCACCAGCCATGGCCATCTCTCCCTCAGCAGCTTCTGTTTTCTCTCTGAACTTCTTGTATATGTCACTCTGGTAAAATCTCGTTCTCATCACCAAAACCAGCGACACAAATGTGCCAAATAATGTAACTGCTGCAATCACGATGAAGGACAATTTGAAGCACTCTCCCCCAACGCAAGTCAGCTCCTCACCTACTTCTCTCACAAGCCCTTTTGCTGCAAGCTGCTTATTGGCTTCTTTGTCATATATGTGCCCGGCGAGTCTCACATTGAGCAAGTATAGTCCAACCGGGCTAGCGCATGCCCCAAAATTGAACAAAGTCGAGTAGTATTTGAGGCCGAAAAGCTCAGAAATTATGGCGAAAAGTAGAGGCCATAAGGCACCTAAACAAAACCCTATTATCACGGAGGCTACGTAGAGACCATTTTTGACATTGAAGGCAATGAGAAGGTGACCAGCACAAGAGAGCAAGAGGGTTAGGGTTAGCATTAGAGGACGAGGGAATTTGTATCTTTTTAACAAGATTTCGGAGCCGAAACCCGACACCACCCGACCCAAATAATTCCATATGCTTACTAGTGACACGAAAGTGCTTATGCTGTGTTTATGGTACCCTAAAGAAGCTCCAATCTGACCCAAGTTGTCTATTGCTGTAAATGCGCCTCCAACACCACAAATGCATGCTACGAAAAGAATGAGCATGTCAATGCTGAAAAGTGCTTGGAGTATGGTGTAGTCCTCACCTCTCTCTGGTGGCCTAAACATAGTTTTCCAGCATGACGGTTCAGTCTCTCTGGTAGTGGTGGCAAGCGCTTCCTTGGGCCGTGACAGATCAGATGTAACGCCAACTTCTTCTGATTTTGGCTTTTCGGTAACTACTTTCAAGTCCGAACCGCCATTCAACTCGAGCTTCTTGCCTTCCAAGATCTTAAATTCCTCAAAAATAACCACAGCAAGTGGGAGGACAAGCAAGAAAATAACCATGGCAGCACTAGCACCGTACTCACCTTGAGTGAAATGAACATTCTTCTGGATTATAATCATAACCATTAAAAATCCAGCAAGCCCAAGTGAGATATAAAGCATATTATAAAACACTTTGAGCTCATTGGGGTGCCTAATGACCTTCATAATCCGAATTGTTCTAAGAGAAACAAAAGAAACGGCAGTAGGAAGCCACCCAATCAACAAAATCAAATCCTTGGTGTCGTCATAATAAAAAGCAGAGTATAACTGTGTGAATATAGCACCACTTAGGCCAGCATATCCCTTCAAGAACCCCAAAACGGAGCCGCGGCTCTCCGGGAAGTTCTTGACACTAGTGATAAGTGATCCAGTATTGGCAAAAGACTGAGAAGTTGCACCCATACAAATGTACATGCACATGTGCCAAACTTGAGGCTTAGCAATTTTTTTGGTCACGGCCATCCAAATCATGAAGTAACCAAAAAAATTGAGGACTCCACCCACTGATAGGACCACCCATGGGGATGTGACCTCGTTAATCAGACCAGAAAGGACACCAACATTGGACCCGAAGTCCTTGAACAAGCTGAGAAGGTTGAGGGTACTTTGGTCATATCCCAGCACAGATTTGATGTCACTGGAGTAAAGACCAAACATGTAGGTGGCGCCAGAGGCTGACATGATTAAGAGGGAAGCAAACACCGTGAACCACCGCCCATTGAGGACTTGGAGGGTTAGGGTTTTGGTGTTACTCCACTCCCATCCTCCACCAGGTCCAGAAACCAACATGGTTTTTTTATCCCTCTGAACTGCACCAGCAGTCTCTCACAAGTTTGTTGTAGCGAAGAAGTTGGTGGATCGGAGGTTTCAATAGATAGATGCAAAGGGAGTGTGTGAGAGCAATTAGAAAATGAAAAACAAAAGTAGTGTAGTGAAAACAAACACTTAGTTCACCTAGAATAAAATAATTTCAAGTAAATTTGGAGTGAATTGCAAATTTGGAAAGAAAATAATAAGAGGGGTATGCAAGGTGAAGATATTACAAGTAACTAGGGGAATAAACTCATCCCCAGTAATAGGGGTATGTAAGTATTATCCTAATATTATTCAACTTAAATTACAATACATACATGTGTTTTGTCTAATATAATTCTATAATGAAACATATCAACTTTGCCGTTCACCTATTATAACTCATGAAGTGAAACATAGTGTTCACGGAAAAGCACAAATTTTCTTGTTCAAGATAGGAAAGAGAGGAACCCTCTTATAAATTTGGTCTTATCAATAAGAAAGAATTGTCAAAATGGTATTGGAGTTGGTTGATTTTGCCTCTGTTTAATTTTTTTTAATCACATGATGCTTGTCTCTACTCTAAAAAATTTCCCCAGTTCCTTCTCGTATTTAACACAAGGGCCGGCCAAGTGAACAAAGTACATACATGTAATTTTATCGGTTTTTTAGATAAAACGGTCCATATTGAATTTGGCATAACTCTTTGTTCCTAACTAAAAAATCAACAAAAGTGGTTCACGATTTGCATAGTTTAATCATTTTGGTTATTCCGTGATATGTCAATATCTAACAAATATATGTTAAAAAAAAATCACCATAACATATTAATTACCTTAACAAATTATATTATTCCAAATGAACTACCAATGATTGATAACACAGGAATTAAGAAACTTAATCACTATATGCTGGACATAATCCAATATATAATCTTGATAGATTGGATTCTTACTCTTGAACGATTACTAATCAAAGTTGCTAAAGGCCCAGGCTGACAATATCTGCTTACTTCTCCTAATGATATTCTATTTATCAAATTGATCGATTTTGAATATAATTAAGGGAGAAAGGTACATATACAAATACTGCTAAGCAAAAGATTTGGAAGGTGACTTGTATATACGTACGGCTGATATTCTTTAAAAATAGTCATCGTATCCAATTCCACCAACAACGCTTGGCAAGAGCATTCACTTAGATTTAAATAAAAAGATGTATATTATATACTTTTTGGATATGACAAAAGAGTTCGACTCTTACTCGTTTTATCAGAACTTTGGCCGCCTACATATTGAGAATAAAAAAAAGTTTGTAGGATAAGGACAAAAGGAAAATTTAATTGATGTATGTAAGCTCTTACATTCAACATAAATACAATCAGAAGATTCATACACATGAAAGTTACAAGAACTAAATTAGAATTGCATGCTTTGCAATAAAGTATAGGTCAATCATTAATGTCGCTATTGCTACATATCTCTACTTTACAAGAATGACTTATGTGACACAAGTACACAGTTACGGTGGTTTCCCGTGCCAATACAATAAAAATATGTATAAATTTTTCGTTCACATGCTCTTATTATAATGATGTACTCTTGTCATGTAAGTTGTTCTCCTAGTATTCATCTCTCTCATGCCAGCAAAAATAGCAACCAAACACACACACATGTGTTGATATCTTAGTCGATGCGTTTACACATCTGAGGGAGAAATAAGAGAGAAAACTATCACCCACAACCGATATTCTAAACTCTTGTAATTTATCACATCTTAATTAATTTCATCACATAACATAATATTATTATTAGAAGCTGCCTCTTGACTTTGGGGTTGGTCCCATAAACCTCAAATGCGGTATTGCTATTTGTTATACATCAAGATCCTAAAATTTATGAGTTTGTCAATTGTTAGACAAAATTTCTCAATTACTTTGCTACTTCGTGCCCTGCTCATAGTGGGAAACTTAGACCCTCAAAGGAAAAGGGAAACTTAGATTGTAGGGTGCATGCAGGCACGACTTTAGTCAAGTAATAAGAAAATCCTCTACCTTAAATTTGAATTTTCATTCTCGTAGTTTAGGTAAATTTAGTGGTAGATTGCCTTGTTCGGTATAGAAAATTTGATTGGAATGAATAGAGATATTCAAGGTTGAGAAAAATTGATTTTTCATTTTGAGTGAATTAGAAGGGGTTTGACATGAAAAAAAAAATCTCTATTCTAATCTGTCATTTTGGAAAAGATTGGAATTGAAAAATTTTCTTCTTGGGTGGCAAGAAAGACCAGAATGCCCATAGCCCATGAAATTCAGACGATCGGACTAGTCAGGCTTCCTAATCATAGTCAGAGTAAGCCATTCCAACAGGCTGACTAGTCAAATAGGCATTCTGCAAACTGTATTACTTCTCCCAAGTAATTAAACCCTAATTCAAGTTAAATTAGAATATCTTGGGAATTAAGTAACATAATCATAATTTTAGGAAGGTTGGATATCTTATCCTAAATTTCCTCTGAGATAGTCTCCTTATTTAATCGGCATTGCTCTCTCTACAAGGACTATGAAGATCTCTATAAATACCCTAGCTTGGGCATTTATCTCTCTAATCAATACGTTTCTCTCATATTCTCTCTACGCCTAAAATAGGCTCATCTCACTCCAAACACAATGATAGACATACGTCCATAGAGAACTCATCTCCTATACGCCTATGCAATGATGGTTCACGATGTGCACACATCAAACCATTATTTGTTAGAACTACACTAGTGATTTTATTCTCCTTCCCGAATATATGTAGGTAGTCCAATTCGGATTCAACACACCGCCCCCAATCAACCCCATTCTCTCTTAATCGGAGGTTATGGACTATTCCGACTGGATCACGCTTCTGTTCGCGAATTTGGTTGACATGAAAAATAGAATTTTCCCCTTTAATTGTAAATATTACCATAAGATTCAAACAAATGTTGAGAGTGCACTAAATATAATTGAAAGTGATAGGCTTTTTGACTTTTTAACAAAACAATGATTTTAAAATTAACATAACTCATCACTTTCATTTTGGTCATTCCGTGAAAAACCTTTGCATAATGAGGATCAAAGTGACAAAAATATCCTCATTTTAATAAACAATAGGATTTGACCAAAAATGAGATATTTTTATCATTTTATTTTTATTTAACAGAGATTTTTCACAAAAGAATCAAAATGATTGACATTGGACGAAATTAAGGCCTGTAAAACCCAAAAGGAAAATACTGAATTAAAATGCATATCATCCATCAATCCTACATTAAAATTGCAATCACAACATCCCACATCAAGAACCTAAAAGATTATAAGCTAAAACAGCTACAAGTCTCATGAAAACAGCCGAATCACCCAACAGCAACATTTAGTAACGGTCAAAGGAAGATGGGCGGCCTCCCCTGCTAGGGCGGTCATAAGGACCAGGCCTGCTTCTGTAATTATCGCCTCTAGCTGGCCCTCCGCTTGCATACCTGTCTCCTCCTCTTGCGCCACCATCCCTATCATAGCCTCTATCTTTGCCATAACCATTTTGAGGATAACGATCAGAACCACCGTACCTGTCACTTGTAAAACGATCACCGGCTGGGTACCTGCAAGGAAAAGTGGCAAAGGTTGAGTAAAAGGGATTTTGTTTACTACTATTCAGAGCAATCACAAGTGAGAGAAAGGAACAAGCGGTTAAGCAGTAACTCATACCTGTCGCTAGCATAGCGATCACGGCTACCATATTTGTCATCTCTGCTGTCAAAACGGTCCCTCTCTCCATAGCGCCCTCCATCATAACGGTCATCCATGTAGCGGTCACGGTCTCCACCAAAGCGATCCCCACGGCCACCAGCCCCAAACCTAGAATGTGATGAGAACGAACCTCCACCGCCTCTTCCGCCTCCCGCTGAAGGGCAATCTCGGGCCCAATGTCCTGGTCGACCACACTTGAAGCATTCATCTTGTCCTACAGGTCTATCTCCTCCCCCATAGTTTCTCCTGCCACCAGATGAGTAGCCACCTCCTCTGTAGCCATGGTCAGAATCCTCTCCAGCTCCTCCCACTCCCATTTTGGGTTGAGCTTTGTTCACAGAGATTATGCGATCACTAAGCTCCCGCCCATGCATCTCCCGGATTGCATCTTCCATTGCTCGCCGATCTCCAAATGTAATAAACCCAAAACCTCGGGGACGGTTTGTATCTCTTTCCATCATGATCTATAAAAGTACCACATTAGCCATTTCATATAAATGAAATTCATCCATTTTAACCAAAAGTGAGAGTAATCTATCAACTACTCCCAGGAGTCCACAATGAGAAACTAAAAGCAACTTCCATCACCCAGCCAGAAGTTCAATTGCTGAGAAGCTGGAAGAAGAATTAATAAACAGGGAACACACAATATGAAAGCAAAATTTGTGAATGAGATATGGATTAGCAATACATATTAGCACGCATCCTAACTGGTAATTAAAATTTAACAAGTTGATAACTTACTTTCTCCTTGTTATTATGGATAACAGATTGAACCGTGTTTCAATGTGAAAAAAATTCTGATAAATACAGAGGAATCCATCACTTGAGATCTTGACTTCCCACAAAATCCAATAAATTAGATCCAGCAAAAACTGATACCTAGCCCACCACAAAGTCAAATGTATCTACTCTCAAACAGAAACATTCAAGTTGAATTGGTCATCAGCGCTAGCAGTATATCTGTGATAAGGTTTACTTCTCACTGATCCTTAATCCCAACATAAGACTGCCAGAAATTAGGATAACACTGCAGACACCAGGCAAGCATCCATCTTGTATTCACGAAAACAATGTTCCCCCAAACAAAGCTATGCAGATCACTCAGACAAAGGCAGCAATCACAATATTTGATCTTTCCACTATTCAAAACAAACCAAATAGAGCACAAAAAGATACCTCAAAAACTGTGTTCATTTTGCAGACTATGCCCGACTCGATCCATAATCACTCGTTCTCGTAGCATTTCATTAATTTCGTAAAAAACACAAAAATCAGTCAAAGACGGCAAAGGTGCTCCATCCAATTATCAGCTCAAAATAGCAGAACCGATGACAATCCTGATTATCCCTTTCAACCAGAAAACTTAGACCTACTAAACTCATAAAAGATACCCTAGAGCCATGGAGATCCATGTTCTGACAACCTCTTTTGATAGAAGATGTTTGGACAACCTTTGCTGATAGAAGATATTCTGACAACTTTTAAGTACTTGCAATTATCATACAATCGCCTATAAAAAACTCGCCACCACAGTTCCCAAAGATGAAATGCCAATGGGTAGGAAGAAAGAGAGAAAAAGAAAGGTGTGCCCATGCCTACTCCATATACCCTGACTACAAACTTGAACAGGTTTGGAGTTTCAGATTCCAAGGTAGCCAAAAGTACTACTCCACCAAAGTTATCAAATCTTAAATCAATACTGGAACTACTGATGAACTGGCAGCATCGATATCTGGTGAGTGTTGATGTTGCTGAATTCATCTTGCCATGCAAACCCAAAGTACTGAGCCTCAATTAAACACTGTTTCTGAACCTGCAAAGACGCTACTGATCCTGACGATGTCTCATAAGATTCACGGAATGGATTGCATGAATGTGCCCGCAAGTGAAGTGACCAGACTGAAAGTGTGGCCTATGTTGACTCTACCAGGTAGATGGTTGAGTTCATAATGCACTAGATAAACTTACTGACCCACAAAAACATGACAGTGAAATTGATCTCAATCTCTTGTCCCCACAAAAAAAAAAAAAAAAAAAAAAAAAGTTTCATAAAAAAAAGTTTGAACTAGTTCAAACAAAATTCAACTCACTGAAAAGAAGGCTCAGACTTCATGAGCACTCCACAATAGCAGATGCCAGAAAAACGCAGTTTAGAGTGATTAACTCAGACTAACTGTATCAAACATAAAGTAACTAAGCTTGATACTTTGCAGCCTCATCCAATAAAGCTCGAATTTTATATCTGGCAGACCTCCATGAGGACCATAACTAAAAGATCAGGTATCAAGAGTTTGACACATCTGAAGAACAACTAACAAGAGACAACAAAACTCTCTGATTTAGACAATGACTATGTCAGACATAAGGCTGCAGAGCCACAGAATCATACTCCCTACAAAAAAGATAAATTTCTCGAAGTTTCCATATCTTGTAAATTGATGATTAGTGGGCCCACCCTCAAAGCCTTACTTATATTCCGAATTTCCAAGACTATCACAACCACAAATCTTCTCATCGCTAAATCTTGTGGATCCCAACCACAAATCTTTTCACCAACAAATCTTTTTCACCAATAAATCTTTGTTACTATACAGCAGATGAGACCAAGCAAGCAATTAACTGGGCTGCCTTGAACTCAATTCCACGCATCCAGATACCATCTGTTTGTGTTATACTTCTTGCCTTGATACTTATTCTAACCATCAACTATAACTAGTCCCAACAAATCTTATCAAGCTTCAGCAACTCGATGCAATCACTCAAACAAAAATATCTCTACGAAAACCCATACACGTACAGCACCAAAAGATCATAACCGTCATTCCAAAAAGACATGAAAACAAATAAAGGAGAATTAATACAAAGTGAGGACAACAGAAACTATCAAAAGAAAAGGATAAAATCAAAATAAACATAAGTAACCGTAGTTACACACATGGAATTAAATATCATCGCTCCTCATACATGTACAACCGGATATATCATGAGGTCAGAATGGCACTACTGACAATTAAATATCTCAGTGAGTAGTTTATTTGTTTCATTCGTGTTCACTCACTTCATACAAAAAACAATAGGGCATAACAAGCTCATTGAACACGTGGAAAGAGCATGATCTGAAAATCGATAATCAGGATCAATCAAACAATTACTGAACATGCATTATAGCCATGTACCATCATTGTCTGAACTTCCTGCATCAAAACCAAAAACTTCCGAGAATGTTCAACCAATTTGTACTTCAAATATCTTGGGCAGGCAGGATAAAATTTAATTTAAACAAAAGGCCCAAAACAACAACGACGAAAAATTTTGCAACAAAGATTTCGACTGTTTTCCTTCTAAACATCAACTAAATGTAAACATAGGGTCAAATTAAAGCCTGAAACTGACTGAAAATTTTGGGACTTTTTTCACCTCTTAAAACCATAAATTCAAATATAATTCAGACCAAAAATTAAAAGGATAAGATCTTTCCAATAGTTTGCTAGCAAAGTAAAGCAGCTGAAGCCTAAAAACGCATGCATCTTTCAATTGACACAATTAACAGGTAATAGGATTGGTAACAATTAGGGTTTACATATAATTACGCGTTGATTGGAAGATTAATCATCGAAGAACTAGCTAGGAAAAATTTGAGGGTACCTGAGCTTCAAGAACTTTGCCGAAGCGTTGGAAAGCGCTCTCCAGCTGACGCTCCGTCACGTCCCACGACAACCCTCCCACGAATATACGGTAGTCTTCCTTCCCTGCCATCTCTCTCCCTCAATCTCTCAATCTCTCTCTCTCTCAATCTCTCTCAATCTCTGTTGCCTGTACTGTGTGATGAGCCAAACCCTACCCGCGTCGTATTCTTGTATTTCTACTTCGATTTTGCCCCTTTTCTATTTGCTTATTTATTAGACAAGCCTTCATGTGCGCTTACACGTGTGCAGAAAATATTTTTTAATCACAACATGCTACACACAATTTACACATTTTAAATATATTTATATGCGTAAATTGATAAAAGAAAAATCAAATATTTGACGTAAATGAATAATTTTAGATCATTCTAGAAGAAACCCTCATAAACTAATTAAAACAGCTGAATTCACATAATAAAATCGGTTTCCATATAATTTACATTAAGAATAGAGAAAATAATATTTAATAAACAATTAATTGAATTACATTATTGCTTGTCCATTGTGAGGCTAAGCCTACCTCCCATTCCTCTTAGTGTAGATAATATCGTTTGTTTAAAAAAAAAAACAATCATTTGATAATTAATTTAATCACATTATTATCCGTGTGCGAAAAACCTGTTTTTATAAAGAAAATAATATTTAATAAACAACTGATTGAATCATATTATTGCTAACTCATTGTGAGGCTAAGCCCACCACATTCCCCTTAGTATAGATAATATCATTTGTAAAAAAAATTAAAAAAAATCATTTGACAACTTATTTAATCATATTATTATCTGCGTGCGAAAGATCTTTTTTTATAACCAGCATTACACGCCTGTTAAGATGTTTTGAACACAATATTCATGATTTTCCTTATTTTTCTTTCCCCTCCACATGGGCACCATCAACTTTTCCTCATCCTTCCTTTTTTTTTTATTCTTTTCTCTTCTCACTTATATTTATATTATATTTTATGATGATCAAATTACCAAATTATCCTTGCATTATTTGATTTATATATTGGGCTGCTTTTGGATTTTTTTGGTTGAGGGGCAATTTGGTCCTAATATTTTTGTCGAAGCCGTGACCCCAAATTGAGGCTCTGGCTTTATATATAAGAGATGCAAAGGGATTTTTATTTTTTATTTTTATTTTTTAAATGAGGACTAGATATAGGATTTACTCAATATCGAACTTTAACGATTTGAATTTTCTATTTTGTAAGTCTCAATTCATAGATATTTTTGCAAAAATTCAATTCAATCCGAAACCATTTATTTATTTAATTATCAAGATAAAATTTCATTATTTCTATTTGCAAGGATGATCTATGAGGTGCAACTTGAAAAATAGACTGTTCGAATCGTAAAAATTCAATATTGTGTGGATCCTACACCTAATCCCTATTTTTATAAAAGAAAAAATAAGAATCTCTTCCTTTAATTATTTCCTATTTATTACTATGCTCATGTGCTTGGACGAAAACCTTACTTTACCCACTTTTCACCTCGCCTCATGCGTCTTCGGGGTGGTTTGGGAGTGAGGTGCTTAAAAAAAAAGCACCCATGAAAAAACGCTGTGAGGGTTTTAGGTGTTTGGTAAACTGAAAAAAATGGCTTATTTTGGAAGCTGTTGTGAGAATAAGCTGAAATCAAAGGAAAAAGCTGAAGTTGCTATTTGCAGCTTTGGTAAACTGGCTTTTTTTTTCAAAGCACACGGAGCTACAGTGCTCCTTTAATGAAAAGACCCACTATCAGACTGCTTTTTTTTTCCAAAAGCACTTTTACAAAAAAGTTTACCAAACACTCTGCTGATTTATTTCACAACCGTTTATTCTTACAGCACAGCCGCTTATTCTCACAGCAGCTTTTTTTTAAAGCACAACAATATCAAACCAGCCCTTCATCCCGCTTGCGAGGCAAAGACATTACTATTCACTCTGAAAAATAAGTCTTTGTACAATTTCATTCGTTTTCCATTGTTACAGAAATTATTTATTATTTACATGTATATTTTTTTTCTTTTGTTTTTTATTTATTTATACTTTGTTGGTCTTATCTTCCATGTGTCATACAGACCATATTAGGTGATTCCGACTTGTGTGCAGGAATTGATTAATAAGCTATAGGTTCAGCCGTACAGGTCATGTTAGGTTTTGCCGACATTCACCGTACAGGTCATGTTAGGAATTGATTAACTGTATTATATGAACCTTCGTCGTTCTTTGAGGACGAAATTGTTGATGATTTTGGCCGGCTTTGTAGTTTCGAGGTTGGCTTAGAGCTTTTTGCCGTTTTTGGGGAACATCTTGACCTTAACTTCTGCTTTGATTGGCTCGGGTCGCAGGGGCAAAAGGCTGACCGACAAACCAGGGTCTAATAGGATGTGATTGACGATTGTGTCTAGTTCACCTCAACAAACTGGCTTTAATATTTGTCATGATCCAGCAACGCCTGGACAAAGGCAGTCCTAATATCGGATGACATCATTTTTTGGTATTTCAAATTATTCACTAATTGGGTTGCTCCTTTTATATATAGAGATTATTGTAGAATTATCAGAGAGACGGGTCATACGGCCCACTTCCAACAACACCGATATTGTTTCCAACTTGGTAATTACCACCAGCACAATCCGTTAGGTGTTGAGTTTTATCACAAAATGTCTCAGTATTAGTTGGAGTGGGATTAGGGTATTTAAACTATTCTTTTGTCATTGATATAGTCGATGTGGGACTTTTCAACAATTATTTCGTTGAAGAAGAAACAGCTCCAAAGAGCTTGTCACATTATTCGAAATAATTACATTAATTTTTTTTAATTGGCAGGGAAATGATTACATTAATTGACATACATAATTTACACGACTATACATGAAATGAAGTGGGCTATCAACCAGCGATTGAAAAATGTTGCAGTTGAGGCAGCAATCTGCATCCTTTTCTATTCAGATATAAGAGGCAGCCTAGCAACACTGGTTCCTCCCCCTCCGCCGGTTGGTGATTTAGAGTTAATCACCTCCAGAAAACTTGAACCGGATTTAACAGGTTTTGAAGCTTTCTTTTTGTTTAATCTCATCGGAAGAATCTGCAACCTCGGATTCATCTCGGTGCCCGAATTTTCGGCAGCCAGCTGATAACTTTCCACTAGCTCAAGCTGTCGGGCGATTATTTCAGTGCGTCTTGGGAGAAGCTCGACTGGCTCTCCACCAGGAATCACGATGTACTCAATCGCAAGTCGAACCTCCTATGACATACAAAAAGGAGAAACGGTGTACTAAGCAAATGATATAGGTAAGGTCCTAAGGATTATGTTGTGGAATGAACTGAGAATTTACTGACTGAAACGGAGAACTGGGGAAGGAAAATGTACCTCCAATGCATCAATCTCTTCCAAAGATGGTTTTCTTTTCGGGGCATCATCTTCAATTTCAATGTCGAAAGAACTATTGACTAACTGCTTTCGCAAAGAGCCAACAGATTCCATTTCAAGAATCATCCGAACTGCCTTGACCATTTGTGCCATGGTATTTGACTGGACAACAAACCGAATGAGCCATGGCGTGTATGGTGTGTACCATACAATGCAAATGTAGAATAGATACACAAACAGAGAACTTCGAAAAACAACGAAAGAGAGGCTACCTTCATGACAAATACAGGCAAGTCGTGGAACTTTGTTACACTGCGGATCCATGGGCTCTGTTTCATTTCATAACTGGATGCTATTATTACATCAGCTGTTCCGATATCATCAGTTACTTCTATTTCATCTTCAAGCCCCATTACCTTTGCTACTTGTAGAAGATCGGCTTCAAGGATCTACAGTACATCAAAATAATAAAAAATTTGTTAATACAAATCATCCGCCTTGTGAAAACCTATTTACTAATAGCGTTTTGGAGAAATTCATGAAGTTATTACTACAAAATGACAGAATCAGAGCTTAAGATGATGTGTGACCTTTGCTCTCAGTTTAATGAGCGTGGATTTGAAATTTTCCAATTGAAATATAGAGTGAAGCAAATAGAAACCTAAGTAATATACCTTGTATGCATATACACAAACCGGCAAACTCCTCTTCTTCACAGATCTTTTGCTGCTCAATTTTTTGGACCGTGTAGGAGAATGGTCTAGATCTTCCTTGTCAGACTCTATATCAGCGGCATCAATGTTCTTTTTAGCAGTAAAATCAGACACTTGTAGATAGCTCTTTTCAGGTATTGAAATAGACTTGCGAGAGCCACTAGCATCTGCATCAACATGACGGATTTCAAACAAAGGAGATTTTCCTGCAACCAAAAAATTTTCAATTTAGAATAATTTTGGCCCTTGAAATGTCAATCCAAAGAGCAAAGAGGGAAGTGCAAAATACCAGCCAGTATAGCATCAACAGTTGCATCTAATCTGTGATGCACACGAAGTTCTGTTTTAGATATAATCTCCACAGCACATGTAAATGTAGGAGGCCCCCTTCTTTCCAGAATTGTCTTCTGTACCTTCCTTCTTCTTGCTTCTTCATCACCAAGTGTCACACTCTGCATTCAGATCAAAACTGCTTTTAGTCAATCAACAGTTTCTATCTGCGAAAGCCTTAAATTGGTAAGGTCTCGACACAATATCTGCAGTGGGGATATGCCATATCTCCTATATGGTACCAACAAGCAGCACTAATAGATTTGAGCACAACTAGTAAATGGTAGAATTGACAAGTAGCATTGCACTGCACCTCTATGCCACCGACAAGGATCTGTAGAGAAGGATTTTTCATTACGTTGTCTATCGTCATTCCATGTGCTGTTCCAACTAGTTGGACTCCTCTTTGAGCAATAGTACTGGCAGCCAATGCTTCAAGTTCTGTTCCAATTTCATCTATTATGATTGTTTCGGGCATATGGTTTTCCACTGCTTCAATCATAACCTGCACAAAAGTTCAAAAGGGGTAAAACGATGATTTGGGTGAAAGGAAAAACAATGCACATTTACTACTCGGGAACTAAAGCAACAGTTGGAGATTAAAAGCAATAGAATTGTTGTCAACACTCACATTATGCTGCATATTGACATTAGGAACTTGCATCCTCCTTGCACGACCTATTCCTGCGTGAGGAACATCTCCGTCTCCACCAATCTCATTAGATGTATCCACAATCACAACACGCTTCAAATGATCATCTGCCAGCATTCTAGCAATTTCTCTGCACGGACAAATTCATAACATGTTTATTCCTGATGCCAAGTGAAATGGAATTAAAGGTTCATTTGCTTGAACCAGGAGTAGGCAATACCTGATTAAGGTTGTCTTCCCAACTCCAGGAGGTCCAATGACCAAGATGGAACCGCCGCCCTCAACCAAGTCACGTATGATCTCAGCGCTTCCTGACACAGCTCGTCCCACTCGGCACGTGAGGCCAATGATTTGCATTTTCCGGTTTCGAATAGCACTTATCCGGTGTAGTGAATTGTTAATACCTGAACGGTTGTCATCTGAAAACTCACTAACCTACAGAAAAGAAAGTACCTTTGTATAAGAAACACATAAACAAATAGTTAAGAAGTCGTTTAAAAGTGTTTTTAAAATGACTGAAAGCGTTTTTGGAGAAGATGTTTTTGGCTTTCAAAAGCATTGATGTATTTTCTGCAAGTAGCATCTGTTATGTGCTTTTTCTAATAAGTTTTTAAGTGATTTTCTAGGATTGACTTGCTTTTTTACTAAGAATTGATTCCAAAAAAAGAATTCGCCAAAAGCGCTTTCAGTCATTTTAAAAGCATTCACAAACGAACTCTATAACTTCCCTTCTAAACAAAGCTAATAGGTATTTACCAATCACTTGCATGACCAGTAACACAAGGGTTCAAAATTAACAATTTAATCAATCATTAAAACAAATAATTAAACCAGAGAGACCGCCACTAACACCAAATTAAAGATTTACCCAAAAACACTTATGTCATGCAAATGTGACTTTTAATTTTTCAAGTCTCAATCTGCATAAGAATGCACCAAACCTTCGATACAGCGTGCCGTAGATCTTCATGATTCACCGGCTTTTCGGACATCACCCAATCACCGGAAGGAAACCTCGCAATCGGACTCCTCCCCAAATCCATCACAACCTCAACGAGCTCGCCAATCTCCTCGTGCCTGTACAGCTCACTCCTCATCCTCAAAGGCAACAATTCAAGTAACATTCCCAGCTCCGAAGCCACCTCCGGCTGCGACGTGGAGCCCGGATTCAAATTCGGAGAATTTGAAACCAACCCATTTCCGGAATAGAACCGATAGGACGGCCTCCGAATCTCCGGGGCCGGAATCCATGGGGTGGAGGATTTGGACGAAGCAACCGGCTTACGCCCACCGCGAGTTCGACGAAATGCCGAAGAGACTGCAGAGGTGAATTTGGAGTTCTGAAGGTAGCAGAGGGTCGAGATTGGGATCTGGTTCGCCGATTGCCATGAGCTCTGCAAATCAACGAGCACGCATTGCGAGCTCAAAGCTCTCATTTTTCCTCTGAATTATTAATTTTTAATACAATTACAAAGAGACTCTGATTTTTATTTTATTTTTTTATTTTTTTATGGATGTAGTTTATGAAGTGTCCGAATTGGCGAGGATGGAAGAAGATTCGGAGGTATCTCCTCCGCGATTGGAGTTTTGGAGGGAAAGTGGGGCCGCCTAAGAGCAACCTAACAAACGGTTAGCGACCGTTGAAAGCAATGGAAGTTGAGCCACGTGGGGCTGCGTCGCGAGCCACACATATTTTACAAAGCTTCTAGTTTTGGAACTCTATAGAAAAATCATTATTTCCTTTCTTGCACTCCACAATTTAAACTTTGGGAATGTTATTAGCTCTTAAAAAAATAATTATTCTTCTCGATCTCTGAAAAGATGGATTGTCGTTGCAAAATCAACGACTAGTGTTTTTTAGAACAAAAAATAATCACGGAGAGTAAGTGATGGCTGTTTTAGAGATCTAACAAGAATTTCTCTATATTTTGGTAAAATTATGATAGCGGTCTGTGTTATTATGACGGAAATCCGCTTGGTTAGACTAGTATCAACCTTCGCGACTAATTGTTGCAAATTTATGTTCAAGTTCGTCATGTTATCGACAAAATTAGCACACGAGTGACAAAAATGTGTGGAAATTGAACTTTTTTTTGCTGTAGAATATAGAGAATTTTTTATGGTTCCCTCCCCTATTTCAGTTTCGTATTAGGTCGACTTTCAAGACTTTGAAGCAAGATCTGAACCCAAACACAAATCAGTCGTCTAGCCGTGCAAGAATGGTGCACGCCGTCAACGAAGACCGCTCTTGCCGGCGGGTTTTCCTGGACTCTAAAACTCAACCAACTTAACCACTCCTCAAATTCGATCTTCTACCAACAAATCAAATTCTGATATAGTCTATGGTGAAAGATTAGTGAGAGACTTCGTAAAGAAAGGCGACGAACAGGATGAAATACTAAAACATTTTGTTACCTAAACACGCCGGAAGAGCTGAGACTGCCAAGTTTCTTTCATAAGCAATGCAAGTTAAGATGGAGGCACGGAGGTTATGAAACAGATTAGCTTATGCGCGTACTGATTTACTGGTTTGCACCTTGCCGTAGTAGAACTAGAAACTATGAAAGCCGGCAACTAAATTCGGCATCCAATCTATTCCCATCCCATCAACTTGTTTCTTACACCTTCCTCAATTTTGTTCCTTGGCACTGGAGAACCAACTCCTTCATCTAGCAGGATTCTGTATACTTCCCACTCTCGATCCCGGATCATGTGTCTGCCTATCTTAACCTGAAATCATGAAAGCACATTGAATCGTAGAATGAGAATCAAACTAAAGCGGAAATCATTCGTCTAAGTTGGCCTAAAGGAAATTACAACGAATGCATAAGAAAATTGTAAGATTGGTTGGGGGCAGTACAGAAAAGATGCGTGTTTTTAGAACTTTGAGGGCGAGTGTGATATCGTAAAAGACAAGAGGACGACCCCTGCCAGACAACTCAACGGGGTTAGCAACCAGCAGCTCAGTGTCAGGACCACGGCTCACCACAGCCACTCTAAGAGGACGCAGAAGCTCCATTCTCAAGCGGGAACATAATGCATTTTGCTTGTTCCGGTCAACAATCTTCTTCCCATCTGCTTGCATTATGAACAAGTCTAACTCACAATTTCCTCTTGGGTTAGCACAGAATCGTCCATAACGAACCTGACATTAAGCAAGAATATTCAATAGAATCGTCTCTTTAAAAAAACGGTAAATCACCTTCGTTATCTACTAAGTAATGGTAAAGCCAAATGACAAAGGAACCTTTGGAGAGAGAGAGGTTAAAAAAATCTACAAAACCTACAATTAAAGATGTACCTGAATATTGTAATCCTTCAGGGTTCTCATGATGTCATATATGAGACCTTTATGATCCTGGCAGAAGATTTGAACAAGTGTTAGAGATGGGCTAAGGTGATTGTCCACAGTTACTGAAACGGGGTTGGAGGCAACAGATCTGCTTAGGCGTCCGTTGGGCAGCTCTAAGCTGAACATTTCTTCGGTAATAGCAGAAGGAAGATACATGGAACCCTGTGAACACGCTGTAACTTCTGATCCGGCCAACTCAATTTCGCAACTCAACAAAGCATTGCATAAAACAGCCTTCAGAGAATCAATCGTTTCATCTTGTCTTCTTTTTGTATGAAGAATTTCTCTGATTGAAACGAGAGAAAAGAACAATAATATTCACCATACTCTAGAGGAGTGAAACGACAAAAGCAAAAGCGGAAATGCTGCACAGTTATTATTTATTGAAAGGGAAGCAATGTTAAGAATGACAAACCTAGTATCTGTTATGAAGAAAAGGTCCATTACTCTCCCATCCGGGGTAGTCGATACCTTCACACTGTTTATAGTGAGCTCCAGTTCACAGAGAACCTCAGTGACATCTATTAGATAAAAGCGTATTAATGTAAATCCGAAACAAAATATACGACTCCATACAGTACGTTTCCCACTCAATTACTGAGATAATTCAAAAGGTGTAGGAAGCACTTGGTAAATGAAGAGTCAATAAAGACAGAATCAAACAATACTTGTAGACTGATTAGCCAAAAGATAAGCAAAATTAACTCTCTTCCAACATTTAGTACCATAGGTGAAAGAAAAGGATCCCTTATTTGATTTCTTAAAACGAAACAAAAACAGAAATAGTGTTTTCATTTTTGCTATACAAAGTTACGGAAATAAGGATTGTTTATACCATACTTAGGGCTTCCGTATTTAGACATTGTATAAATAATCGGAGGACTCAAATGTAATTATGTAATAAAGGAAGGGGCAAATATGTAATTAGAGGAGGAGCCCTTATTCTATAAAAGGGCGTTCTCATCCTCACAAACCCTAAGCCTCTCCTATCTAGAGCAAAGCTCTCACACTCTCTCCCTCACAAATACTCTCAGAGAAATACAATTAGTGTGGACGTAGCCTAAACCTTGGGGTGAACCACGATACATCTTGTGTTATTTACATTTCTTGCAGATTCACGGTCGAATTTACGTTGTTCCAAAACCTCCGGTTTTGTGCATCAAATATGGTTCATACCGCTAAGAGTTCACTTGTCTTCCTTGGTATTATTAACACACCAAAAAGATTAATATCTATACTTGTACGAATCTGTCATAAATTATTCCTTGGTAATTCGTATCGATTCTAAACAAGGGAAATGAAAATGACGGATTCTCTTGCCTTTTACACAACACTGCTAAGTATGGGAACTCATAATATCAATCGTTGGAGATCATCGCCTTCCTATTTCATCACATACACAAATGATAATCACCGATAAAGGATACTCAAAACTTCATCTAATTCAAACGCTTACTAAGTTGGAGAGTTCAGACAAATCACTGAGAAAGATATTCAGTAACTGCACTATTTCTAAGCAAATTAAGCTCGAGGGTAACGCTTACGAAGTTTCACGAGAACAACTACTCATGCAATTGACATTCTTTGTAAAGAAGGCTTAGCATTACCATGCAATAGTCCGTCCCGTTCATAAGAACACCAGAACTTCAAAAGGAACACATCCGGTGGCTTAGGCTGCTGGTTTTCGGGCCGGTAATAGAATATTCCAGAAGTCGAAAAATACGATGGACACGCTGCCAACAGTCTCTTTGTCAACAAATTCCACCTTGTGCTTGGTTTCCCCACCACCCAAAACACTATGTAGCACCATTTCCCATCTGTTGAAACATCTGCTCCACAAAATAATCATATCGGTCACAAAAAATTTCATAAAAAATATGAGTAAAAACCTAAGTACAAATTACTACTTAATTTTAATAAGCTTGATGAAGAATGACACATTTCCAGGAAAAAACCAATATTTATTTCTCTCTGCATCTTTATATCCAACCCAAGAATTCTCAGGCATTTCCAGATCCAAACAGTAAAAAAAAATAAAAAATTACACTGCCCACCATATTTCTAGTTAAAAATTCCAAAACCCACCACCCAAAAACTCTGAAAATTTAAAATAAATAAATCAAACAAAAAGAATACATAAAGCAATCAATAAATCCTCACCTCCCCTGCAAATGCTGAGCCCAAACAGCAATATAACTCTGCACAAATCACATCCCAACCCGGTCTTGTCAAGACAATTCACAGTGATGACAGTGGGTTCCCCAGCCTTCTCTGCCTGGTTAATCACCACAACGTCCTCGTGCAAAATCCCCATTGCTTCGATTTCTGCTGCTCTGTTTTTCCAAGCTCTCGGGATACGGATGAAGCGAGAGCGCCAGAACAGCTTCCAGTTCGGTATCTTCGAATTCTCTCTGTTGTTGTTTACTGGGTGCAAACGGATTGGAGATTCCGCCAAACAGCGGATTACAGATCACTGGATTGGAGATTCCTCCACTCTGCTTTTTTTTTCTCGGCACCTTCTCAGCTTCTCTTGTCCTTCGCTTTATGTACTGTTTGCACAGTGAGAAGATTAGGAAATTATTTAAAAGATTAAAGCACGTGTGTGATTAGGTGGTGAGCCAATTAGTGCGGACCACGTCGTTGTTGCTTCCATAGGATTAACTGTTACTTTACAGTTAAATAGGATTAATTTTGTAATTAATGATTTATCGTAACGATATGACTATTTATTATCTCAAAGATTAGAGGAGATGATGTCTTAAAGAATGTTAACAATTCTTACATTTTAATCATTTATCATATATCGTGCAGTCAGAAATTATTTAACTTTCTTTATTTAAAATTAAACATAAATAATATCTGACGAAAACTGACTGTACGATATACGATAAACAGTTAGAATATGCGGATTCCTAAAATTCCTACAAAAAAAAGATCCGGACAAGATGCTTACCGGTACTAAATTGAGGTTGAGAGCCAAGTTTATTCAATTTGTCAATTGGACTTACTTACTTTTTTTTGTCAATAGGGCTTTAATTTATAGGAAAACTGATGAAAATGGCTTGAAAACTTTGAGTTTTAACGATAAGGACACAATAAAGAGTAAAATGTAGTACCATGATTGATTTTTTAATGTAAAAATATGATTTTTCGTTAAAATGAATATTACGGGGAACTTTTCGTTAAACTTCCTTTAATTTATTTGGAAGAGAGGATCTCACCATTTGTAGGCTTGTTGCGACCTACCATGGTGGCGTTTCGAACAGTGATCTACCTGTTATGGATGATGGAGGAGGAGAGTTGCCAATTACCACCATCCCAATTTATGAGGACCGAATTGCAGCAAATCTAGTCCACCATGGTCCCCTTGCTAGTAAGTACATAGTAAACAATCGAATATATTGTAAGAATATGAGTATGAGATAGAGAAGTTTTAGGATCAGTTGTAGGTATTCAATTTTGATAGAAAGTATTGTTAATGAAAGGAATGTTGATCCTTGACAAATAAGGATTTTGTTTAGCATTGGGATTGGATTGCAGGACACGGAAACATATGTTTGTTTCCTATGAGGATTTTGATAGGAAATCCTAATATGTAAAGTCTATATGTATATATACAGTGGCCTTTCTTCTCACAGAACTAACGCTCATATTGAACCAAATCCTATCTGTGAGACGAGCTCTTGATAATATGCAAGAGAAGAGAAGGATCACTGAAACCTTGCTGCAATGGCTTTGAGTACTGGTGCTGCTGCAGGTATGTTTTTCCTTTTGGTTTTCTTGTGTACACATAATTGGTTGGTTCTCTCTATGGTTGTAGTTCATGTTTTGTTCTTGGTGTTTGTTAAGTTTATGCTTACATGTGGTGTCAAAGCCACAAGATATACAAACATGAGTTCAATCTGTACAGAAGAAAAGTTGTGTGTGTTTATAACAAAAAAATAAAAATAAAAAAAATTAATTTTCTTTTTTTTGCTCTCATGGAGAATCGAAGTCAGGTTCTCAAGGCCAGGAGATAGGTACTGGTCGAAAACGACAAAATAACAGCTCCTTTAGAAATTGAAATATTGATCGTTGGAACCTCTAAACCACAACCGAATCGGGTTTTCTAGTTAGAGTTAGGTTTGATTCTTTCCATGAAACTATGATCTGGGTTTTTCTAAAAGCGCAAAAACCTTATGTCTTCAAATTCTAAATCCGTTTCCGCTATTATCATCGAGAATTTGAAATCAGTAATTGAAAGGTATGTTTGTGTTTATTGCTTCTGAAATACCTATGTGTGTTTAAGTATGTATGAATATGATTTACTGCAGATTGGGTTAACAAATTGCTGATAAGAAACATGGTATAACTATCGATTTTGAAAGTGAATTTAGGTTTCTTGATTTAACTTTGATTATTTTGAATCTATCACATGTATGAGACACCATCATTATGAATCGGTGTTTAAGGATACATGATGGCTGCCGCATGTTGATCGAGTTCTTAGTATGTCATTTATATGCTTATCAACAAATTATTAAGACTATAAGTATGATTATAGTCATGATGTTCAAATGGATGTTGGAATGAAATCTGGACTAATTAGTTCATATTTGTGATTTCATGAACTGCTGCAACATCTGCAATATCATTAAGGACTATGAACTTGGCCAATATACATATTCTCACTGAGGGAAACAACTACAAGAATTGGAGATGTGAGATTGATCTCTTGTTGACACTTAATGAATTTCACATAGCTCTTGACACTCCCAAACCAGTTTTGACTGATCAAAGCACTTAGCTGATGTAGAGAGATTGGTTAAAGCTAACAAAGTGGCACTTTCCATACTTGAAAGTGCTATGACATATATTGTTCGAGGTGGAATCAAAAGGCATGAATTGGCTATTACCTATTTGGATGCAATTGAGAGGAAGTTCAAAGAATCCCAAAAGGCATAAATCATTCAATACATGGCAATGCTTACCACATACAAGATTGAAGGGACAAGCTTCATCCGAGATCACATTATGAAAATGACTGATGCAGCTGGGAAGTTGAATTCTCTAGATTTTAATATTGGAGAGAAACAACTTGTATTCATGATCATTCAGGCTCTTCCAAACAAATACAATCAATTGAAGGTGTCTTATAATATTCAAGACAAGAATTGGGATGTTGATGATCTAATTGCACAGTGTGTGCAAGATGAGACTAGACAAAAGCAAGAAAAAGGCAAGGAAGTAGAAGCAGTAAATTTTGTGCAACCGGACAAAGAGAAGAAGTCATTCAATTCATTCTATGGATACTCTAGTAAGAATTCCAATACCAAACTAACCTCTTTTAAGTCAAATGCACCTACCAGAGTAAAAGACTCTAGTAAAGGATCTAACAATCTTAAAGTCAAGACCAAAAAAATTGCCAAACTTAGATGTTTTTTCTGCAAAACTAAGGGACATTTGAGAAACGATTGTCAAGTTTTCAAAGACTACCTTAAAATCAAGGGTGTGGAACACGTTAATGTCTGTGTTGAGTCAAATTTGATAGAAATTCCTGTAAATTCTTGGTGGTTTGATACTGGATGCTTGGTCTACATTACAAATTCTTTGAAGGGTTTTATAACATCAAAGCAAATTGGAGAAGAACGAAGGTTGTAGGAGGTTCCACTGTGCATGGAATCAAAGAATGGTATTGGGATGGCCTGCCTGAAGTCGAGCTACCTACCACAAAAGTTGAGGTGGTAGACCTCCATCCCGTGCTCGTAACCTATGCAGTCACTTCGCACTCCCCATGCCACGTCCCGCTGTTGGATACAACTCACGAACTTCTCCTTGCAGAGGTTGCTGACATCTTCCCCAAAGGCATTCTGGAAGATTTGGTTCGAGAACTATGGATATCTTCGCAGCACAGAAGCTCCTCACTTTAAGTCTGCCCGAGTCTGGCAAATTCTAAAGAAATAGAGGCAAGTGAATGTTGAATGGTTGGTGGGAAACACCTCGACCAAGATTCGGGCTAGAGCCACTCCTTTGGGGAACTCCAGATTGGGCACCCAAAATTCGGGGAAGTACCACTTGAGCTACAATTGGACCATCCAGGTTGGCTCGTTGAGATTGGTTTTAGGTACTGGTCGAAAACGACAAAATAACAACCCCTTTAGAAATTGAAAATTTTGATTGTTGGAGCCTCTAAACCACAACCAAATCGGGTTTTCCAAATTAGAGTTAGGTTTGATTCTTTCTATGAAACTATGATCTGGGTGTTTCTAAAAGCGCAAAAACCTTATGTTTTCAAATTCTAAATCTGTTTCCGCTATTATCATTGAGAATTTGAAATTAGTAATTGAAAGGTATGTTTGTGTTTATTGCTTCTGAAATACCTATATGTGTTTGAGTATGTATGAATATGATCTACTACAGATTGGGTTAACAAATTGCTGATAAGAAACATGGTATAACTATTGATTTTGAAAGTGAATTTAGGTTTCTTGATTTAACTTTGTTTATTTTGAATCTATCACATGTATGAGACACCATCATTATGAATTGGTGTTTAAGGATACATGATGGCTGCAACATGTTGATCAAGTTCTTAGTATATCATTTATATGCTTATCAACAAATTGTTGATTAAGACTATATGTATGAGTCTATGACTATAGTCATGATGTTCAAAGGGATGTTGGAATGAAATCTAGAACTAACTAGTTCATATTTGTGATTTCATGAACTACTGCAGCATCTGCAATATCATTAAGGACTATGAACTTGGCCAATATACATATTATCACTGGCGGCGGTAGCAACTACAAGAATTGGAAACGAAAGATTGGTCTCTTGTTGACACTTAATGAATTCGACATAGCTCTTTACACTCATAAACCAGTTTTGACTAATCAAAACACTCGGGCTGAGAAAGCTTATGTAAAGAGATGGGTTAGAGCTAACAAAGTGGCATTTTCCATACTTGAAAGTACCATGACAGATAATGTTCGAGGTGGAATCAAAAGGCATGGATTGGCTGTTAACTGTTTGGATGCAATTGAGAGGAAGTTTAAAGAATCTTAAAAGGCAGAAATCATTCAATACATGGCAATGCTTACCACATACAAGATTGAAGGGACAGGCTTCATATGAGATCACATTATGAAAATGACCGATGCAGCTGAAAAGTTGAATTCTCTAGATGTTAATATTGGAGATAAACAGCTTGTATTCATGATCATTCAGGCCCTTCCAAACAAATATAGTAAATTGAATGTGTCTTATAATATTCAAGACAAGAATTGGGATGTTTATGAGCTAATTGCACAGTGTGTGCAAGATGAGACTAGACAAAAGCAAGAAAAAGGCAAGGAAGTAGAAGCATTGAATTTTGTGCAACCAAACAAAGGGAAGAAGTCATTCAATTCATTTTGTGGATACTCTGGTAAGAATTCCAATACCAAACTAACCTCTTTTAAGTAAAATGCACCTACCAGAGTAAAAGACTTTATTAAGGGATCTAACAATCTTAAAGTCAAGAGTAAAAATATTGCCAAACTTAGATGTTTTTTCTGCAAAAC